GACTGACTATCATTTCTCTGCTGAAATACAGCCTACAAAGATATGCAGTAGTCCTCGCTCGTGCTGCTTGGTATGATGTACCTGTCATGCAGTAGTGGGGAAGTCTGCACTGGGGGTGCATTTCCCCAATTCAAATTCATGTCTATGGATTAGGGTCTCTTCTGATATGGCTGAATGATAATGATGTGGAATTGGGGAAGGGAGAAGTGGTGGGAATATTCTTTCTGCCAAGACTAGCGCTGCTCAGAAAATACGCATTTGTATCCTCGTCTTTCTCCTTGCCCCCACTTGCTTGTCCTTGCCGGTCAGCTGCTGGCTACTCTTGCATGGTTTTTAGATTACATTGAACTAGAATCACTTGAGCACAATCTTATCAGCACTTAAGTATAATGCAAAATATCACTCACTATGAATAAGTTGCTATGTATCAGCTTCATCAAGGTAATCGTCTATGTGCATGTTTTTATCCATGAGAAATGCAAGCTATGATGCAAAGTATGTCGAAGAGGGAAAGTTTAAGGGCAAGGCAGTTGCAAACAGCTTTGCAGTAGTGATTCCTGCGTTTGCTGTATTATGTGACTCTTAAGATAAGATACATCTCTAGATGTATAAACACCTTAAAGAAAGGTGAGGGGAAAAGCGATCTTGAATATCAATAAATATGGTGTATCTTCTGCAAAAAAACACCATTAAGAGGCATATTTCTGTGGTTACAGGTGAATATTAGAGTTAACTCAGCATACTTCAGTCTTAATGGGAAGCACCGATAGGCTAAAACTGAGACCAGAGGGAGGCTTACTGTGCCCTTAATAGGGAATAGAAATGCCTTACACATATTCAGTGAAGCTCCAGAGACCTTTTACGTATGTTGCAAGACCAAATATTGTCACTTACAAACAGATTTTAATTGATTCATAAGAAATAAAGATCCATATTATGACTTCAGCATCCAACCACGCTTACTATACTGACAGTCTTTTAAAAATCCTTTTACGTCTTTAAAACCCTAGCTACTGGCCATTTGTGGTCATGGTTTCACTGCTGAGATAAACAATTCAACTCTTTGCCCTTACCCATATCCAAGATTTGTTTTTTGTTTGTTTTTATTTTTATTTTCAGGTACTTTAACCAGATTCTGTTGCATGATCAGAAAAAAAAACAAAACTAGAAAACTTATTTCATCTTTAAAAATAAATAAAGCAGGTGTCATTTCGGTTAAGGAGGAATAGTCATACAAGCATGCTTGTTTACATATTTTACTAAATGTGGGCTGTTTTCATTTGTCAGGATTTGTCTTTAGTGAATCTGAATCAACTGCATTAGAACAATTTGAAGGTGGCCCCTGTGCAGTGATTGCACCTGTACAGGTAAGATGTATTTGTTGCAGGAATAGTTTAAAATTTATAAGCCCAAAATGTCATATTTTCTTCTCAATGTAAAAATTATTGCAAATCAGTTCTATCCAATTTCATAACTGTAGGGTGGAGGAGACAAAATGTTAAGTGTAAGAGAAGGCAGAGATGGGCTGATTGTGAAAATAATTTTGCAGGATTGGGCTTGTTTGACGAAGTGTGGCAGGCAGATCCAAACAGAGACGACTCTGAAGTGGAGAATGCAGGATAAAGGGGAGCAGTTAAAAATTAGATATAAATGAAATTGTTGTGGAAATGAAAGCCTAATCCTTTTTCATATCTCATTCTCTTTTCCTGAGAAGGGCAGTATCTGTGTCATAGTCGCTGCTTTAGCTAATTCTATTAGAAATATCTGAAGTAATTTATTTTAAAACCTGTCTAAATTTATTATGTAAGAAGAAGAGAAGTATTAAACTTCCCAATCCTAGTTAGCAAAATAATTGAGTAGAAGCATGTCAGATGAATGTATTTTCTTCTGGACATCTGCTTGGAATTTCAGATATGCTTGAATATGCTCAAGCATCTGTGATGGAGAATTTTGGGTTTGTTAGTTCGTCGTATCTTGTGGGCTATGTGCGTACTCTTTGAAATACTATTTCTGGGGCAACTCTGACTTTGCTTTAGAGCTATGACCTGTAGGCTGGATCTGCTCTGCTAGAGCAGTCTGTCCAGTTTGCAATTACTCTTTATTCTCTTAGGAGTGCCAGGTAGAGACAGGCAGACACCGAGTCATGGGCCAGATTACTTTTTCTGGTAACCTGCTCTTGCCTCCTCTTACACACAGATCAAATTGTGCAGGTATGTCTAGATTTGTGTTGAGGCCTTGTCCCCTGGTGGGGGATATTCTTCGTTAAGTCTTGTATCAGGGTGAACCTGATCATGGAATGAGAAGCGCCCGAGTCAGAGAACTGCTCTCGTGGGGTTGCTTGCATCTCTGGTGTGCACAATGTGATAATCTGTAAGTAGCCCTCAAGATGCTCCAACGCTGATCACACCGAAAGGCTTGTTCCACCCGTTGTTCAGGCTGTAAACTATGAGTAGGACTTCTGTATTTTATCAGGGGTTGCGCTCTCTAACATGGCTTAGTTCTTTGTCTGTCTCTGGTCTTAAGACTGTGTGTAGCATGTCTGGTTTGTGATGTTAGAATTACAGGCTTTTGGGGCGGCATGAATCAAGTCAGCCAGCTCCTTGAAAAATTAAGGAAAGGCCAAGCCTTTGTCAAATGAAATGTTTTTGCAGATGGTGTTTTTGCCAGCTTATTTATATGTAATTTAATTTCCTTTAAATTTAGTATTTTAAAGCAAATCTAAAAGTCAACTGAATTTTAGTTGGGGAAGGAGGAAGAGTTGAAACGCAGAAAGCTGGTAGTGCCTACTGGTGCTGCAAGTTACTGAAAACAAGAGGTGTGCTAAGGAGCTGTGGTGGAGAGCTGAGTGAGTGAGTCTGTCAGGGAAGAAGTGAAAGTTCAGCAGCTATTTTTAAGGTGCTGCAAATATCTGAAACTGCACATAACGGAGGCATTAGAGAGGAAGAACCTGCTTCCTGAAGCTTCTTCTTTCATGTTCCTTTGTAACTTAGAACTTGCCAGTTATAGATATTTGAATTGTAACATTAGTTTTGAGAAAAAATGAAACAGAGATATGGAGATGTATAGGTTTATTCAAGTTATGACTTGAAACGATTCAAACAGGTGGACTTTTTAACTGCTAGAGAAGTTTTGTTTGATCTCTGGGTGACCGGAGTCATCTTGTCGGTTGAATGTAGCCAAATATTTATACCTCTGCTACTACAGTCCCCTGAATCCAGAGCTGTTTTTGTAAATGTGTACTCTGTGTGCATTTGAGGCATACCTGAGCTTTGAACTCAATTATGTTGAATTTATTTATAAATAAGGCCACTATTGTAATTAGTTTGAATGTGAAAAATCAGTAAACAGTCCAGGCTCAGGTCCTCTTACTGAATGATGACAGGCTGGAAGCCTTTCTAGCACCATGCAAAAATGCTTTGGTGTAGAACTTGTGATGGTGGTGTTCTATATTTTAATAATTATTTGATGCTTTGATAACAAAGGCATTCCTTTTGAAGAGGCTTTTTACCAGTGAGAAGTCGACTTGGAGAGACTGTCCAGGTACCGAGACCTCTTTTTATTTTCTTTTTTTTCTTCTTTTTTCAATAATGCGTGAAGCAAGTCATAGTGCAAAGAATTTAAATGTCTATATGCTTTTTATTTAAATGTACTCCTATTCAATTTTACAGGAGGTAGACAGTATGCATACTGCAGGTCTCTAAATTTCCATTTGGGAGATCTGTGCCACTCTGTAGTATTTATGTGCTTGTATAATATTAGATTAATTGAAATCCACTATTAGGAAAAGAGATGGATTAGAAATCATAGTAAAACACTTTTCTAAAGACAGCTTTATAATTCTCTGATCCAGTGTACTTGCACAGCAATTAACATTAGTAATTAACATTAATAAGATAAATAATTATTTCAATTTATTAATTTTTAGAAAGGATATTTCAGAAGAAGAGGAAAAGAACCTTCTCTGTCATACATTATGTGATATTTTGGAAATGGCTTGCTCTGATAATTCTGAGTCGTACTCTCTGGCGACATGGATAAGAGGAAAAACAACTGAAGAAACTGCTAGCATTTCTGAAAGTCCTGCAGAATCTAGTCGTCAAGAGGAACAACCCTGTAAGATGTATTTCTGTTTAAAATTACCTATCCTTTTGTGAAGTGTTTTATTGTTTTGAGGGACTGCAGCTTTTTATTATTATACAGATGAGGTGTTTGCCTTTGTAATTCCATTGAGAATAGATGGGTTTTTGTCTGTTGCAAAATGAGGCATTGACCCTTTTTGTAGAAAGGAATGTGGTATCACTGGAATTCTTTCATGTATGTTTCTCTCAAGTGTGAGCAATTTGCCTAATCTTTTCAATTTTATTTTATAATTTATTGGGACCTGAAGTTTCTCTAGTCTGGAAATATTTGTATGCTTCTTAACACGGGAGGAATATTTTAAATTGTTACTCATTGTTGTTTTATTTCAGCCTTTGTAAGAAATTCTACAAAGCAGCTGATCTATAATACTCTGGATCCCCTTTTAGGTAGAAGTAGCCTTCTTTCCTTCATATTTGATTCTATACAGTACCAGGACAGCTTTTAACCAATTCATCTTCTGCTAGATTAACGGAATTTTTTTGTAGGTTAGAATTTTTTTTTGTTGCCTGCTTTTTGCTAATGTCTCGATTCCTTCATTAGTTACTGGCCTCATGGACCTAGTAAACATCATCTGTTGCACTAAGATAAAGCATCTACGCACATCTAACCACTGTGGTGTCAGCAACATGGACAGTTTTTTTAATCTGTGTGCACATGATCATTGAGATGCATGTTTATTAATCCTTTTAATAGGAGATATCTGTGATGTTAAAAGATAAGTTTCTTTTTCTTTTAGTTTTTGTTCCCAATGTGCCCCTTCAGAAGTATGAAAAACTCTTCACATGAGAATATGCTTATAAAGGTGCCATGTTTTGATGGAAGGTATATGTTATTCTGCAGTTTGTGGCATAACTTCAACATAATAATTGTACCAGTAGGTTTGTACATGAACCGCTAGCTTTAGCGATGAATAGTGCTGGAGCTCTTTATGGTACAAGCCATCTTTATTTGCTTCTGTGAATTGCTCCATGTGCTTTAGACTACTCAAATAATTAGAATGTCAATTAACTGAAAAAAACAGGTCACCAGCTAGGAGTGACAAAGTGCACTATTTTTAATTTAGAACAAGTATTAAGCAGAAGGCTGTATTTGCAACTTTTCTGTTAAAACATCTTTCTTTGAAAGATAATGAGGCAGTTATAACTTTGAAATTACTGATTTCTATGGATTTTCCAGTTGTCTATGAAGCTTTGGCGCATATTATGAAGTTTTCTTTGAGGAGGAAAAAAAAGAAACAGTCTAGTTACCAGTAGTCTTTTACTGTCCTGTTTATTAATATGCTGCCTTGTTTTAAGGAATTTTAACTGCTCTGTTATTACTCTCAGCTCTGACACTAAATCAAATAATCCGTACTGTTACATATCTATATTTTTCATGTTTCTATACAAGTCTACCAGTTCTGCCTGACCTTGTGCTTTATGCACTGGGATGTGCTTAGGAAGAACGGGATGTGTTTGCCATGAACAGTGTGCTTTTGTCACCTTAATCTGTTTAATTGTTCACTTTCTACTTTCATTGCTACGCACTGAACATATCTCTTGCACGTGCTCTGTAGTTCAAACAGTATTTATTTTTGCCTGGTATAATGTAATACACTTTCTAATTTAAGATATTTCTTTGAATTTTTTTCTGTCCTGCTACTTTAACTATAGAAGGAAATTCGGCTTCTTTCTTGGTTGGGTTAGGGGCAAGGATATAGATAAGGTATTGGTAATGCAGAGTTGTGTCGTTGCTAGCCTGAAAGAATAAATTTATTTCTTATTTGGCTGCAGTAATCAACAGAAATAGAAATAGGCATTGTCATAGTTTGCAAGACTTCAGAGAGAGTGTAGAGTTAGGAGGGAGTATTATGGATTCGCTTCCATGTGGCAGGCAACTGCTACTTGGGAATGCAATATGGGAATGTACTTATAGCAAGTCCATGAAATACGATTAGACACAGCAGTATAGAAATTCTTTAAAATTATATTCTATGTAATTATCTTTCTGATACAGCTCATACTCTATTGCTGTTCTTTCTTTTCCTTTCCATAAAATGTTGTCTCCATCTAAGCTTGTTTGGGTTATGTCTATCTACACTTCTCTGTACGGTTTCTGCTTCTTTCCCTTTGTCTGTTTCAAACAATAGTTCTCTTACCATTCCACTCGGTGCTGTAGTAACAGAATGAAGCTGTCTAAACTGTCTGTAATCCAGCTGTGTGGACCAAAGGTGGATTTGAGCACACTTACTGAATTTAGTTGCATTTGTTTCATCTGCTTTTGTGGTGTATATCAATGAATTGTTATTGGCCATGCATTTGGCTGTAATAGTGCAAGTTCTCAGGTTCAAAGATTGCTTTATATAATTTATTCCTTCTAACTTTTTGCTTACAAAAACCAATATTCTGAGGGTTTTTTAGTTCCTGTAGCAATTACAACTTTTCTTATTAAAAAATTTGTTTCGAAAAAAGAAAAAATTGTTTGGAATTTTGCTGCAATGTAGATTCATACTCTGTTTCATATTTTTCAGAACTGTTAAAAAAAACCTACAATTTTTGTAACTCTTCAAAACTTAACTTTTGCAATTTCTGATTTTTGTCTTTTAAAGTTCACAACAACTATCACTCTAAGACTACTGCTGCTTTATCTCTGCGGTAGAAATAAATTGAAAGTGTCATTCTATTGCTGGAGAGAAAATCAGTTGTATTTGCATGTAGGCAAATGAAATGCACCTTTCAACATACAGTCAAAAAGGGCATAAGAGCTATAACAAGGAATATTCATGGGAAGAATTGATCAATAATGTTAAAGGTGCTCCAGGCATCCAGTGACTTGTATGCTGTCAAATTCAGTAGCTGCATGATCAGACATAATTAAAAAATTCAGCATTAGGTGGCCTTTCTCAGAAAGTGGATCTATCTGTTTTCTGTATTACTCCCCTAGCAGTAAGATAAAATCGTTACACAGAGGACACTAAAAACTGCTATAATTCTTAATATTCAAAAGCCTGTAAGGATTAGGTAATGACACAACTGGCAGGTATAACCTCCTGTTTGTAAAAGAAAACTTGTTTTTTAAAAGCTCACGTCATCTGCCCGGTTTGAAAATGTTGTGAGAGGAACAAAGATATAAAGCGTGTGTTGAACCTGGGAAGACACTAGATGCTGTATTTTTTTTCTTTCTTGAAGTGACACTTATATTACAAGGCTATTTATCCATTTTTAATTGAAAACAATGAACAGCTTATTTAAAAACAGGATGTATAACGCTGTGTGGAATAATTCTACTCATATGTAATAAATAAGCATCGAAAGAGAAAAGTAAAAAAAAATCCCGATAATATAGATGTGTATCTGAAGAAAAAATACAGCTTTCCTACATTGATACTGCTCTAAAATGGTCCAAATAATCCTGCCTGCTTTTCGGTAGGAAATAGTACTTCTTGTTGACCTGCAAAATTATATCTGCAGTATGCTTATGCTTGATGACTGGGTAACAGTCATAACTTACACAAAATCAACAGCATCGTATTTGACAAATATTTTCAAGGCTACACACTCCAGTGGCTTTGTGCTCTTAATTAATTGATTACTCCAAATAGAGATGTAGTCAGAGATTTGTATGATGGACTCTTAATGTTGCAGTAAATTAGTTTATACTAGTCAGTAAAAAAAAAAAAAAATTGAATGTCAAGGCAGGATTAAAAATTAAAAATATAATTAAAGCTTGAAACTATACTAGCTTGCTGTGTGTATCTTGTGTCATTTTTTGCCATGTGTAGTGCTGAATAGTGTCTCTTGTGTATAGCTGCCTTGGCTGTCGAAGAGCTTGGCTTTGAGCGATTTCATGCATTAATTCAGTAAGTAACATGTTGGAACATTTAAAATACAATATTTTGAAGTTACACTAATATTCACAGCCCCTGAAAGAGATGTATCAAGGTGCTTTTTAAAATGTTTCTCACCAGATTAAACTTGGAATTCAAATTTTTATTTTATTTGCATTTTGCAATTTAAAATGGGATATAATTTTAGGCATAAAAATTAGACTTTAAAAAAAAAAACTGGAGCTATGTAATGTGGGAAATTGCCCAAATAACTCATGCATTTCAAGTATGTGAACACAGCTAATTAAGATGTGTATCTAATGAAGTTAAAGATGTTAATCCTCAAATTTTTGTGCAGAATCTTCTAAAACAGTGATTCTAACTGAAATACTTACATGACATATACTGCAGAGAAAAAAAAAATTGACCTCTACTATTTTTTCTGATTTGAGACAATAGAAGAAACTTTTTAAAGGATGTTTCATGTACCTGGCTGATTTTTTTAAGCACTGTTGTTTTTTGGGTGCAAATGCACAGTTTACAATTCGAGTGAGTTTGTCTTTGATGATAACTGCCATTTATTTTCACAATGAATAATTTAATCTTCATAAAAATAAATCCTGAAGAAGAAAAGATTAATAGAAGTTCAAAAACACTTGAGATAGAAAAAGGTACTGATTAAAGTTGAAATAACTTCTGATTACTGTCTTCAGTTTGTTCTGTTCTTTAAAAATTATATATATATATATATATAAATAAAATATATATATATTTTTTCATATGATGAAAAAAGAGGAGAGAATATGTAATTTCTGTAGCCTAGTCCTAGCCGAACACTGATCTCTCCCTGACCTTTGGGTTTATGGTGCCCACTTCAACTTTTCTCAACCTGTGCCATTGGAAATGAACACTCTGGCATATATCTTTGGAGCAAGTTGAATGAAGTTTGAGAACTGTCTTTACCTGTTGATGAAGAAAGGTAGTTTAAAAATCTCATGTGTTAGGTAGACTAGACCCATATATGAATATATTTGTGCAGATATACAGATTTTTTTAAAACAAGTTTTACTAAAAACAGGCAAAGAATAAAAAATAAAATAAGATACTGAAGTTTCTGTAAAATAAGCCAAGAACGTGATCTAATTTGAATTACTCAGTATACACTGATGTTTGTGTTCTGAAAAGTGGTATTTAGCTCTGAATATCCCAAGAAAGAGCAAGAGTGTCACTTCTCTGGAATTTGAAGGATCACTTTTTTTTCCTCTGTTTTTTATTATTTACTTTCTTATTTTTAAACATATGGTCCACTAGCCTTACCTTATCAGCGATGCAGCAATGCTATTATGCAACCAGATATTTTCCTAGATGTTTATTTGCAACTAGTGGCTTTGAACAGTTTACTTTTTCCAAAGCTAGAATCTAACAAAATTAGAATTATTATAATTGCTTCTAAAGGCTGAACAAGTGCTTTCAAAAGCCGTGTTTTGAAAAGCAGTCCGAGGGTGAATATGGTAGTGTCTGATGAACATTACGTGTCATCGAGAAAGAGCTTTAACTGGAAGTTTTTCCCACTGTTCATGGACTGAATGTCTGTCAGAACAATACATAATGCAAGCGTTATTCTGCTGACGTACAGTCTATTCACAACTTCATTATTAACAGTGTTTTCCACAACTGTCTGTTCAAGCCATTCAGCGCTATCACAGATGTGTGTAACTTTATGATTAATGGTTGCACATGAAAACTATGGTCATTTCTGCACATTGCTCCAGAATTATTTACTATCTTCTCATGGATAAATGCTAATGACTCTGTGGCCGTTACGTTAACTGCAGAATAGCTGCTGTGTTATTGTGTATATAACACCAGTTTTGCTCTGCTTTTACTTTGACGATTCAAAGTTAGATGTTAATATTTCTCGTTTGTGCTTTGCTGACACTATTCTAATGCTTCATCTAAATACATTCTCCTTCTTTTTTTTTTTGTTTTGTTTTGTTTCTTTTTCTTTAGCAAACGAGCATTCAAAAGCTTCCCTGAACTGAAGGATGCAGTTTGGGATCAATATTCAGTGTGGACAAACAGATTTGGAGTATTGCTCTTCCTATATTCTGTGATACTAACAAAGGTTTGGGGTTTTTTATTTGTTTGTTTTAAGAGAAAGGTTAATCATATTACCTTTTTTCTATAAAAGGTGAACACTAAACTTGCATGAGGAACCAAATCAAAACTAGATATGTGGATGGAATAGTATATTCATGCATGTTGTAATAGATTTACAGCACAAAACCTTGAAAAGCTCAGTCTCTTTTTTTTCTTCATCTGGAAGAACTGCAAATTTTGGAAACATCCTGCCTAACATATTCTGACCATTTGCTATAAAGAGAAAGAAGTATGTTTAGGTCTCAATTCATTATATTAGAATAGAATCAGCCTCTAATTGGTTGTAGCTAGCAGTGTCCCCCAGGGGTCAATACTGGGCCCAGTCTTGTTCAACTTGCTCATCAGTGACCTAGATGAAGGAACAGAGTGCCTCCTCAGCAAGTTTGCTGATGTTATAAAGCTGGGAGGAGTGGCTGATATATCAGGTGTGAGGGCTGTGCTGCCATTCAGAGGGACCTGGACAGGCTGGAGAGATGGGCAGAGAGGAACCTCCTGAAGTTCAACAAAGGCAAGTGCAGGGTCCTGCCCCTAGGGAGGAATAATCCCATGCAGCAGTACAGGCTGGGGGTTGACCTGCTGGAAAGCAGCTCTGCAGAGAAGGACCTGGGAGTCGTGGTGGACAACAAGTGGACCATGAGCCAGCAGGGTGCCCTTGTGGCCAAGAAGGCCAAGGGTATCCTGGGTTGCATTAGGCAGAGTGTTGCCAGCGGGTGGAGGGAGGTGATCGTCCCCCTCTCCTCAGCCCTGGGGAGGCCTCCCCTAGAGTACTGTGTCCAATTCTGGACTCCCCAGTACAAGAGAGACATGGCCCTACTGGAGAGAGTCCAGCGAAGGGCTCCTAAGATGATGAAGGGCCTGGAGCTGGAGCATCTCTCCTATGAGGAAAGGCTGAGAGAGCTGGGCCTGTTCAGCCTGGAGAGGGAGGATCTGATCACTGTGTAGAAGTATCTGAAGGGAGGATGCCAAGAGGCTGGGGCCAGACTCTTCTCCGTGGTGCCCAGTGATAGGACAAGAGGCAACGAGCAGAAACTGAAACACAGGAAGTTCCATCTGAACATGAGGGAAAAAACTCTTTCCTGTGAGGGTGACTGAGCCCTGGAGCAGGTTGCCCAGAGAGGTAGTGGAGTCTCCTTCCCTGGAGATATTCAAAACCCACCTGGATGTGATCCTGGGCAATGTGCTGCAGGTGACCCTGGTTGAGCAAGGGGGTTGGACTGGATGATCGCCAGAGGTCCCTTCCAACCTCAACCATCTGTGATGTTTTACTGTTGCATTCTGTCGTTGTAAATGTTGCTGTTCATTCTTTAAGAGGGCAAAAATACTTGTAATTTTTTCCCAGGGAATTGAAAACATAAAAAATGAAATTGAAGATGCAAGTGAGCCATTGATAGACCCTGTTTATGGTCATGGAAGGTAAGCTGGAAAGTATGGTTGCTGCACTTAGCATAGATTAGTGGGCTAATATAATGTTTCTATAACTAATTGTTCTTTTATGAAATTATTGACGTTACAAAAAGGATTCAGCAGTTTTAACTTTATAATAGTTAAAAGCAACACTTAATATAGCATCCTGTTTCCCTACTTATTCCATTTTGTGCATGAGTGGTTCTGAGGAAATGGTTCTTTTATTGCTGAGTTTTCTGAGGAAGAGTTCTCGATTTCAGGGCTGAATTCTTGTATCAAATTGTTGACTGAAAGAGTAAAAATCATATTAGTGTGGCCAGACTACATATGTGCCCTACTTTAAAAGAGTATAAGTAGAAAATGTCTGCTTAGTTCCCTAGGTAATAAAATAATTTTTTAATTTATTTAGACCACTTTTCAAACATAAATTTTGTGTCCCTTTTAATAGACTATTTCTTTGTATTATACAGCCAAAGCTTGATTAACCTTCTGTTGACGGGGCATGCTGTTTCTAATGTGTGGGATGGAGACCGAGAATGTTCAGGAATGAGTAAGTTGATTTTATTTCATATGTCTTCCTAATTTTTACATGCAATGAAATGCTGGCTTACAAATTTGGAATGGATGCCACGTTTCTGCTTTGATAGTCTGCTTGTTTATTGTCTTTTCATTTAAGTAGACCTGAAATGGAAATAAAACATAATTGCACAAAATCTCTGATATTAGTATCAGTGAATACAGGATTTTTCCTGCAGGGTCAAACTTTAAAATAGCTGGTGAGCTGGGTGATGGAAGGGAGTGCATTCTCAGCAAGTTGGGGATAGTGGTCGCTGGGCACGCTGATGGGCTGGGCACGCTGCCTTTCAGAGGAATTTAATCAAGCCGGAAAAATGGGCTCACAGAAACTTCATGAATTTCCCCAAAGGCATACGCATCTGGGATGGACTAACCCTGTGTAACAGCACAGGCTGGACACTGGCTGGCTAGGAAGCAGCTTTGTAAAAAAGGAATCTGGAGGTGCTTGTGGACAGAGAGTTGGACAAGAGTCATCAGTGTGCCCTTATCGCAAAGAAAGCTAGCTGCATCCTAGACTGTATTAGGAGGAGTGTAGCCGGCAGGTCAAGGAAAGTGATTCTTGCCCTCTATTTGGCGCTTGTCATACCATGTCTGGAGTATTGTGCCCGGTTTTGAGTGACAGAACTGTAGAATTGTACAGATTTTCTTCCAATATCCAGCATAAACCTTTTTGTTGTACAGTAGGCTATTTTCATATTCTTCATATACTTTCACCATGCTATTGTCACCCTTTTCTGTATTAAGTTTATTTCATAAAGCTATTATTTCTTTTCTTGGGCCTTTTCTTTTTGTTTTGACAAAGCAAACTGAGTTTTTATTTAAGCCTTTGTTTGTAGCTCGTGTTTTCTAGACCTCTTCAGAGATCTAGAAAGTATATGCCAATATGCCATGAAAGTATAGGCATACTGGAGACAGCCGAGTATGATGTCCATAACAGCAAGCCTCTAATACACAGGAGTTATTAATATACGTGGCATGTGAATGACCTTTTTGTGATGGCAGTGCATTGCTGACTCTTAGATTCGTTTATCAATATGCTACTTCTTGACCGGATCTTCCTTCATTGTGTATTTGCTCATTTGCTATCTTTTTTCTAAATATAGTTATTGTGCTTTTGTGTTCTTTGAATTTCATGTTGCAAGTAGAAAAGATGGTCTGAAACCAGCAACGCTTTGAATTCTGAAAGTGCTCACATCCTCTCTCCTGCTGCCACATACTCCATGTCTGGTTCATCCACATACTTCCATTAGTGAAGTCATCATTGAAAATACTGACTTAAACTGAGGTTTAAGACATATCTTTGCGAGACCTTGAAATGCCCCGGTTTGACGATCAACAATTAAACTCATTTGAGCCTTTTTAGTTAATTAGACATCCATATGATTGTGATACCGTGCAGGCTGTACTTCCATATCAGACTTCTTAGAATGACATTTGGAGGCTGTCAAGGACTAATAAAAGTCAAGTCATATGGTATCTCGCTCTTCTCACTCTTACCTGCTGGGCTACTTACCAGGGCATTTAGACTGGATTAGTGCAGTCTATTATTGATGAGCCTCTATTGGCTGGTTTTATATTTTTATCCTTCTAGTGCATGTAAATTGATTACTAATTTGTTTCAAGACCTTTTGGAGGTAAAAGTCATCCTTTGTCCTGTTTTTTGTTTGTTTTCTGTTAAGGACTCTTGTTTTCACTTTTCCACTCTATTGGCACCTCCTGTGTTACACATATATGTGGTAATCATTAATGGTTCAGAGATTTTTTTATCTAGTTACTTACATGTTATATAATGAATTTCATTTGGATTTGCAAACTTGAACTTTTCTGTCTTATAGTATTTTAGTCGATTTTGTTTTTTCCAGCTGACACCATTATCTCCTTGTTAATCTTGAGTATCCTAACATCATTTACCTTTTTGTGACTATTAAAGCAAAGATGGCTTTGAGTACTTGTACTTTCTCTGTATCATTCTTTTGTATTTTGCCAGTCACTTACTTTTTTTTTTCCTGCTTTATGTGTAGAATGTTGTTGTCCTTTATCCCCCCCACTTGCAAACTGAAATTTATGCTGTAATTTAGGCTTTCTAGTTTTATCTATGCATTCCATTCAGGGTTTTTAATTTTCTCTTTTTGATTTTCAGATTATGGTTTATGAATCATAAACTGAATGGTACTTGTAACTTTCCTTTGCATTGAGATAACTTGCTGAAATATTATATAATTATAGAAATATTATAGAATATAAATTATAGAATATAAATATAGAAATATTTAATATAACTGTTTTCAAAAGCTTCCAGTTCCCTTGCCCTCCTTTGACTCTCAGATTCTTTCTGAGAGATCTTATTCATTAGTGAGAGTTGATTGCCAGTGTTGCTTGAGTTTTCTATGTATAAACATAATGGAAATTGCAGAAAACAGAGGATATGAAGTGGTTCACAGCATATTTGCAGGGGCAGTGGTGAAACCGTAGCGAGAAGGTTCCACCTGCACTGCAGGAACAAGAAAAATACTAGATGAGTGATACTGTTATCATAAGTAAATACACTTATGAAACTGAATTCTCAAAATGACACTTGCTTTGCATTTTGATGCAGAAATTGTGTATAAAGGCACTTTACCTCCTGTTTAACTGTTCAGATAAGTCTTCTTAGTAACTTAAGTAAATAATCTTTAAAATTACTCTGAAACTATTTTAAAGTTACTGTCACTAATTTCATTAGTGACAAAGAAGATACTGAATTATAAACTCCAGGAGTTTATAAGTAGTTTGCAGATGCTATTCAGGGCTCTAACTTTTGTGGTATTGCAAAGTGTCCAAATAGAGAAAGAGTTATTAGTTAGGGTTTCTGTCAGCTGTTACTTGTACTAACACGTTGAAACTATCTCTTTTCTCTGACTCTCTAGCCTTCCCTTTGGTCCCCTATCTACATAGTGTGCTTTAAAATATTCTTATTTTAATCTCTTTTATTATCACAATTATCCATAGGAGGAAGTATAAGGGGTTGTAGGGTTTTTTGTTTCCTGAAGAAAGGAAGCTTATGTGGCCGTTGCTGTTCATCTTTCTGTTCTGTCTTTCATGAAGTAACTTTGGATGCAGCCAGTTTAGATCAAATTTTGTATGTGGCATTTTAGAGAGAAGCTCCCACAAGCTGCCTGAGAGAGAGAACCCCGGATTAATGCCTCCTGTGAGAAAGACGGTATGCTGAACTCAGTGTTGTTAAGTTTTGCTTGTGAGCTGACTAGTCAGCACACACAGAGCTTATAACATACCAGCCAAGTGAAGCTGCATATGCTGAGTAAAGGGGATAAAGGAAATTGGGAATGTTGAGGAGAAGCAGGGGACAGAAAATATAGTGGAGTGGGTACGGGGGAAGCTGAGATTATGGTGTTTGGAGAGGTTCTGAAGATGGAAATCTTTAATCTTTATTTAAATCACAAACTTCATATTTTATTGCACTTAGCTCATTAGAACAAGCTTCCCTTCATTCTTCTGTGAAGTGCAGTGATTTAATGTGGAAAAACAATGCTGTAGTAACCTGCCTTTTTCAAGTGGTGTCAAGAATTTCTTTTGTTTCAGATTGTCACTAGGTGGCAGTATCCTGATACAATTGGTACAATGTCATTAAACTTTAAAACCTTCATCATTAGTTGGGGCATGCACTTTAAGGCTCTGATTTTCTTCCTTTTTTGAAATGGATTACTCTTGCAAAAATCCTTTAAAAAAGGAGAAATTAGCTCTCTGACAAGAGGCAGAGCTACTCATTTTTCTTTAAGTGACCTTTGGTGTTATTAGATCTCTTCCAGTGGGGCTGTTTGGACAGGGAGGGAGTATGTACAAGGACTAGTTTTGGTTTAGGGAAAACAGGCTTCCTTTGCTTCCTCGAAACTTACTCAAGAGTGGTTTTTGCCTTTTTATCTCTCCACTTCTCTGTTGACTGATTCTGAAGGAGACATTGGTAGACCAGTATCCACAGGCTAAAGTTAGCCTCATATCTTTCAGATACACAATCTATTTAGCTGTCTACTAGCTATTTAGGATATTCATTTTCCTGTACTATCATAGCCAGGATCTCAACTCTTAGTTATCTGTCCTAGTTATCACCTTGTTATATGTCAGGGGAAGCAAAATATTTAATCATTTGATTTTTTTTTTTTTCCTGAATAATAAATATTACTTGAAACTAATTTCATTGTTCTTTTGTCGTGGCCATCAACTCCAAAAATGTGAAGCCTTTGTCTTGCTGGCTGAGCTTTGCATTGATAAATGTTTTTCATCTTTTTTTCCCCCCAAAATTCATTTGACAAGTTAGCTGAAATGATGGTCTGTTAGTGTACTGTCGCTCATTTCTGCCATTCATTTCCCTTTGTTGTACATCATCTTTCTGAACAGTTTCTATTCCCTAGTTTGAAGGCTCCTTTATTAATTTTTGAATTGGGATAGCTGTCTTGCTCTCGGCGTTTCATCTAAGCATACTACCATTTATAGCAACACAGCTCTTAGTCAATGAGGTCATGGGGTTCTGCGAAGTGTGATCTGTGCACCCCTAAATGTCTTAATTCCAGGAAAGTTTGAAGATAATCCTGGAGAGCATAGTCTCAGACCAAGGGCTCTAAACATTTCCAAAGAGAAGCTAAAGAGAAGCAAAGGAGTCTTTTTACCATGCAAGGTGACAGACACAAACTCCAAGGAAAGAATTGTACTTATTTGCCACAGAGGTAATGAATGAGTCAGTGTTAGTAAGTTAGACACAAATAGGGCAAACTATTCCAACTCTTTGACTGTTTGTATTTGTTTTTTTTTTTCTTAGCAATAGAGGAAAAAGTTAAACCATTACTATAATAACTCTTCTGCACTGTTGCAAAATTCTGGGAGTTAAACTTGAATCTGGTGAAGAAGCATGCCATGCCATGCTTAGTGCTGTAGAGTTGTAACAAAATGCAGAGTTGAGTTCAGCAGAAGGAAAAATCTTTTATATTTGGAACAGTTTTTTTTCACTTACTAGAGTCCTGAGGCTTTAGCCGATGGATACAGACTTCATAGCTTTTTGCTGGTGTACGTGAATCATCAATGTTGACAAATACCGTTGAAAATTAGTGTTTCAGAAGGAAGTTTCAAATTTAAAAAAAATCGATGTTCCTGAAAAAGGAAATGCAGATCCTGTTAAATTGATCAGTTTATGTTGTATGTTTTGGGTGGACTTGCAGTATCAGGTATGTGCTGCTCTTTGTTTAAGTAACTTACAGTTGTTTCAAACAGTCTAATTGCACTGTTGAGATAATGCATGTGTAAGCCCAGAGCTGCTTTGAATCGTTATGGTGAGAACTGTGTTCTCTCTCGTTCTTTTTTAGGGAGCCTCAAATGAGGCTCTGTAAGTACTCTTTAGTCAGAAGTACATAAACAGTTCAGCTATTCCTGACAGCTGTGTGTGCTTTGGAGCAGTCTAATATGTTAAATGGAAGTCAGTATGGAAAATCAGATTCAGTGAGCTCTTTCCTTCCTATTAATAAAACTCTATTATATAAAAAGTATCATTTTCTATTCATAAAGTGGCATGATAAAGATCAATCCAGCCATGGAAATCTTTCCCCCACCTCTCCCCAAACAAAATATTCCTTCGTGATAGTTGTTTTATTCCAGAGAATAGTTTTGGTGCGAGTTACAAGTACCTCTGCTGAGAAATCCAACAACTTTTGAAAACAGGCTGTCAACAGCAAATTTATGTTAAAACCATCCATTTAGCTCTTTTTTATAAAGAGGAAAAACAGAAAAGTTTTGTGGGTTTTTTTTGACCATACCTTAATGATTTGCCATTCATTGTTGACAAAACTGCATGATTTTCTAGAATTGTTATTACTTGACTGATCTTGAAAGCAAGAGAAAATGACTTAAAAGAGACTTTGCTGCTTTTTTCTAACATAAACTTTGGGTTTGGTTTTTAAACAGAACTTCTGGGTATACATAAACAGGCAACAGTAGGCTTTTTGACATTGATGGAGTCTCTGAGATACTGTAAGGTAAGCTTTTTTGTGTAATTGAAAATGATTCTTTCAATAAGGCACTGCGGGTTTCTTTGCTGACAGCATTACTTACAGCTTCAGCTTGAACAATCAAAGGTCTTAAAGTACTTTCAACTTCAAATTAAAACTGAGAATATTATAAAAACAACCCATGTAATAAAATTATTAAATGCAACTTACAAAGTAAATGTTGTTTGCTATTTGAATTAACACATCATTGCACCAATTTTTATATAACCAATTAGAAGCTTGCTCTTACAGAAATAAAGATCAATGCAAGTTAAGTCCCAAAGTGACTAGCTATTGTGAATGTTACAGTACCATTGTTCTCTTTTTATGCTATCACTGTCTTCCATTTAAAATAAATAAATAGTCGTATGTATATCTGAAATGCAGCCTAATCTGTATCACAGCTTCTGGTCGTGACACAGAATTTCTTGATTTAAGGATTCTATTTAAGAAATCTTGTGCCTTACAAATAACACTTTTGAAACTGAGGATTAATACTGTTACTTTCAAAAAGTTTTTTAGTTTTTCTTTGCTTTGTTTTCAAACTGTATTGAATTCCTTTGACTTAGATTATGATTAAAGAGGATTATGTAGTTCACAGAATGTTGGTGTATGGACTGTAGCTATCCCTTCATTTATTAAGTAAATGTCAGTTCTGAATTGATACATCCAAGGCTAGATCATAAATGAAGTGGACTTCCACCTCATTTTGGATCTCCCTGTATGATTATTAAGCACAAGAGTAGTTATTCGTGTGCATTTTTGAAGCATTGTCTCCCAAGATTGTAATACGGAATAATGCTGATACCACTTTTTCATCAAACTCCTGTTTCAGTGATAGAAGTCTTATTTTTGTGGTTGCTTTCCAAGTCAATCAGAAGTCAGAGATCAAAATTAGAATCTAATTTTACAATAGTTTTTGAGAACATTTGAGACTTCATTAACCCGATTGTCATTAACTTAGTTGTTAACTGACTTTTAGGGTTTGCTTTGTGTTTCTGATTTTATGCACCTTTTTTTAGGTTGGCTCCTATTTGAAATCTCCAAAAGCCCCCATTTGGATACTTGGCAGTGAAACACACCTCACAGTCTTTTTTGCAAAGGTATGTTAGATGTAATTTTTATGTGACCTCAGGCGGATAAACACCACGTAAGTCCAAAGTTGCAAGTTTCATGTGGCTTTAACATTTTAAAAAAAAAAAGTCACCACCAAATCTTTTAAATAAGCTTTCCCTTGAAGGCAGATCTCTTCAAATGGTTTAGTGATATCTCTTAAATTTTAATAAAATCTTTTGGTTCTAGCTTAATTTATTGTGGTAGGGGGAATGGTATGCTTTAGAACACCATAATTGTGATGTGTTCCGTCTCAAATGTCTATAGTACAAGAGAGACTTAAAAAGAAAAGACTTACGTGTTGGAGACTGTCTGTAGCTTAATCTTTCTGACAGTACTTTCATGCTTTTTTTAATATATAACTACAGATTTCTGTATCCTAGTTTAAAAAGAGATATTAGCACTGTTACAGTAATTTTTAATAATTATTCTAACAGATGCACACTGTAATCTGTGTATCATATAAAAAGTCTTTGAGATAAGTTCTCAATTTATAACCCTAGACCAAATTTTCTCAAGAAATGATTTATATTTCTCTGGTCACAGATAGTAAATTATTTTCCTTATGTTTTTAACTTTTTTCTTTCTGCAAGCTTCTTTCTGCATAAAAAATACTTACTGAGATTAAAAATGATACTTACTAGTACATTTATTAGTACTTATTAGAGGTAGACTTTTCTCTCATCAATAGCTTACAAATTAATAACTATTTTTAGGTATCAATCTTGAAAATAAATACTAAAATCTGTGACAAATTTAAAGCCATAATTTTCTCAGCTGTTGAAGTTCCTTTAAAAATAATATGCACTTGTGCCTATCTAATCTTTAAAAACAGGTAACGAAAGTAATAGATTTTCTTAAAAATACATATTAGCAGTGTGTTATTTCCTGCAGTACTATTTCTATAACTTCAAATAAAAAAAGCAAATGAAAATTCTTTTCATTGAATTAGTCCATGTTTTTTCTTGCTTATTTTCTGCAAAAGACATACTAGAATTTGTGCAAATTTCTTGTGTCTGATAAATGTTCTTTCTCCACTATTCCGTACTAATAGAAGAATTTATATCCTCCCTTGAATATTGGCTTTCTGCTTTACTATCTCACCAGAGGCAGTCTTTTCTAGTGAAGTGTTTGGATTTCAGATTTTGAAATTTTATCTATAGTTTTTCCGAAGGGAATAATTATACCATCTAAGCTAATATCTCATTGTACAGATGCCAGTCTGATGCAAATAGGCCTAATCACTCTGTTCTGCAAGTCAGCTGTATGTGTCCAGAATGTTATTACTCTTGCAGTGTTCTGTATCTGCAGTGACCGTTTCCAGACAGAAATCTATTCATAATGTTCGCTCTTTTAGGATTTTGAGGGGTGTTAGCTGGGTGTAAAGTAACTGGACATCAGTGTTTGATATCTCCAATACAACTTGATTCCTGTTTCTTCACCAAACTCCATTTACACTGTGGGCAATTTCACCTTATGATTAATATCTTAGGAATTATAAAACAGAAAAAAATAAGCAACGTGAGCTTGGCAAAGAGTCTCCCAGATAGTCTTTTGTTAAAGAGCTAAGTTGAAGGTGTGTGAAAGTTGCAAAAGTCCTTGAATGCATACTTTGCACGTCTGATCTCACCCTCTCTAAAGTCAAAGTGAGATGTCACAGTGGTAATTGCGGTGTTGGTGAGGTGTTATTTTGTCAGTTGAGGCTGCGTGTCAAAACCTACAGCACAGGATTTGAGCTGATTGTCAAAGGGTTAGTGGGCAAGTTGATGAGCATGTGCAGTTCTCTAGATGGTGCTTGGTACTTCCAGCTTGATGGTGAGTTTAATTACATGAGACAGACTTTCAGAATGGAAAGAGAAAAATGGAGAGAGGAGCCAAAAGCAGTGCAGATTAATTTTGGAAAAATTAAAACAAATACAGCTTTAATTCTCTCAAGCTGTGTGTGATTTACAAGAGCCTAATCCTTATGTTCAAGTACAAGAGCATTAGGCTGCAGTAAGCAGAGTAGCTGTTGCTTTTGTAGCTAGCTGAGTAGGTCACCCAAGAAGTGTGGAAAAGAGTCTTAGAATGCTGTCACTGTAGACTAGTAGTGGGAAATAGTAATGAAGATTTTGTCGTGTTCCCCTGTCTTGGGGCCCTTCCTTGAACAACGGAAGTTCAACAAGCAAAATGTTTTATTCCAGTTCTGCATACCACCTTACTCAAGCAAGGGTGGCTTCTGTCCTTCAGTACAGAGGTGCTTCGTTCAGATTTTAAATTTCACTTGAAGTACAGCAGTAAACAGTGTTCTCTCAACTGTGGAATGAAAGACCAGCCACCCTGTTTTTTTACCTCAGAACATTTTTGATTACATACTAAAAATATTTTCTGGCAGACAGCAACAGCTGTCTGTAACACTTGTATTACTCTAAATCTGAACTTTTCTCCTGTAGCTGAGAAATGTTTTTCAGTTATTCTTTCTAGAGTAAATAGTCTTCTATAGGTGCCACTCTAAAACTTTCGTTGTACGTTCTTGGTGCATTTTTCTGAATGAGCAGAATGTGACACAGCATCTTTGTGCTGAAGATCACACTTAGTGTCTTAAAGTGAAAAGAAAAATTTGCATAGTTGGGCTTAAGCTGTCTAACTGCTGTTGCCTGAAAGAGCCTTAAACAGTGACAGCTGAGTCAATTCCTAGTTTTAAAACTACCCAGCTACCACTGGGTCAGCAGTTTCCTCTATTACTTTAGGTACTTAAAATAGTAGAGATTATATTTTTTTATATGTGTACATGGTCTTTATTACCACATCATTATCTTTAGTTTTGCAGCAAAACTCATTGAGGATGTACACAAGTATTATTTTCCCATTTTACTACTAGAAAAAGGGGATACAAAGAAATGACTTAAGAAATATTTTATTCCTTAATAATAATTTTGATCCAAGCACATTTTATCAAAGAGCAAACTGCTTTTCTTCCTGGGGCTAGGCTCAAAAGTCAGGAATTTAAGCAGCCTTAACTGTTTTCCAAGACCATTCTGGTCTGACATGAGTGAATGCAGTCCCTCCCGTCTTACCTCACTCCTTCTGAATATAAAAAACTTACTCTTAGATTACAGAAGATACACAAATCTGTAGAAGTCATGTATCTTTTACAGATTATTTTTGAACATCCTAAGCTGTGTGGTTACAGCTCTGGAAAGCCTATCTTCAGGCAATTATTTATCTTCAGATATTTTGGAGGCCACCTCACCGACATAATGAGTTGAAATGCGGTGGATAGTCTCTTCTCCAAAACACAGAAACATGAAAATACCCATCATGTTTTGGTCCACAAGCAGCCACTTCAGTGGAAGTACTCTTTCTAGGGGAGAGAAAGTAGAATTCTCTGGAAACACCTGAAATGAAGTTTTACCCCACATCTACCACATTTTAATTTCTAAGATAGGCTGTCTTGACCAAAAATACTGCAGATTGTTCTGCTAAATCCAAGCAGACATTGTTTCTGCCCTTCTATGCCCTTCCTTCCTTTGCTGTGTAAGAAAACTCTCAAGTGGCCTCAGCCCAACAAAAATAAACAAGGAAGCTTTCATTTGACATGCTAAGAATCCTACATGCTCTGTCAGATAGTGCTAACACAAAGGGACAATATTGTAAATGTCCTCTAAAAATGAACTTTAAAACTACAGTCTCATTTTTTTTCCATTGAAGGGAAAAGAGCAGGAGAGAATTGAGGCAATTCTGCTTTATTAAATATAGAAATAAGGCTATGATGCTTTGGATCAAATGCTCCAGTCAGTTCTTGGTTATTTAAATGATATTCTAAGAAGTTATGACAAGCTGAGACTATTCAATCACTGTGGAAAAGAATACAAGCAGGTTGAAATGTTATGTGAAATAAAATGAAAAAATGTTTCAGCGCAGACAACGGAAAGAACAAGTTAATAGAAAGAACTGCTTTCTAAGTGCTGCCTGCTAAAATGCCAGCCTACGTGTTCTGGAAGTTTGAATCCAAGTTTTCTGAAAATGAAAAGACAACACAGAATGTGTCCAGTGACTTCAGGTGATCCAAACTGTCTGTGAGGTTACTTTTCAGTTGTGTGAGATTTTTCAAAAACTTCCTGTTTCATACCCATTTCAGGGAGCACATGACAGAATCAGCTATCCAGCTATCTGCTTTCAGTTACAGCATTGTAGCATTTCTGGACTTGAAAAATCAGATGAGCAGAGGAAACTCCTAGCTGAGACATCTAAGTTGCAAATTAGTGTTTTCCAAGGAAAGTATTCCCTCTTTGCTGTATTCAGGCTGTTCTTATGTTTTCAGATGATTTTTTGACTGTAATCACTGTTAGCTATTCTACCATATTCTCAGGGTCTGTCCACCATATTCTTCGGCATTCTTGATAATGTTGTCCCTCGGAAGAAAGGACATTCACTTCTACATTTGCTTCTCTTCCTAAACAATCTTTTTAAACAAGGTTCAGTAGAGGGAGATCTGAGCAAACACTGATATTATTGTAGGAGATACTGAATTTGGGTCAATCATGTCTACTAGAACTGGGCTAAGGAGGAATATTATTGGCTACAATATTTCGTCTCACAACATCAACAGAGAATGGTGATGGTTACGAAGGAACATAAAGCAGAAGTGTAAAAAAATTCAACCATTAATGGTGTGTGTTAACAATTCTGATCTTTCATAAAAGTAGCCTCATATATGTGCAAATGAATTATACTTATCCATTACCTTAGGAACTCTTTTACCTTAGGAAGGTACTGAAAAGTGTCTACACCCTTCCTTTTGTTTTGTGTTCCCATGACAGGTGAACGCAGGGAATCAGATTTTGAAGATGTCTTTGCAGTTCACAGGAAATCTGTACGGAGCTTGTGATATTGCAGCTTTTTAATTAAATGAGTAGTGGAATTGATTGTTCTGGTTGGGACAGTCCAGATATCTGGTAGAGAAAAGACAGATGGGTAAGGCATCTGCAGAGAAAATTCTGGGCTAGAG